AATATAGGTTTTGCTAGTCAAGAGTTCGATGCATCTATAGATCTCACCTTTGGAAACAAAAGACCAGGTCCACTATTTGAGTTGATCATTAGTACTTCAACAATCTTTTTTGACGGGTCACCACCATTTTCTTCCTCATCATTGTTGTACTTGAAGGGAACACACCTGAGAAATGACTCTATTGGTTATTATTCAGTTTTTAAAGCTAATGTAACGAAAAAGTCGATATACCATAATTTCAACAAATAACATATGATCAATATTCAGTACCAAAAATCAAGGATTATAACTTAATTGAAAAAATTACCAAAAAAAAAGAGAATAGAAAAATAACCCAAATCTTGATTTTGAAAAAAAAAATCCCTAACACTTTTCCCATCCAAGCAAGCCTAGTTGAGAAAAAAACTCCTAGACAATAAAGTACACATAAAATCTGAGCTAGCTATCTCTCATTAATTTCTAAAATCAACAATATCCTAGAAAGCACATGGTTAATCAAATCATATAAAAAATCCAAGCCAGAGCTTTCACCATTTCCAGAATTAAACAAAACTCAATAGCAAGACCCAATTAAACAAAATCCAAAGTGGAGCCAGTTGATTCGCACCTCGTACAACACACATACACATACGTATATCACGTGGGTGTGGCCAGTGACTGTCGTCAGCCGTGGTAGAGAGGACGGGCGGAGAGTGTGGGAGACTGTTGTACCATAGGTGTGGCCAGACAGGAGAGAACTCAAAGAAGAGAGGAGATGAGAAATGACTCAATGAGAATGAGAGATAGAATTTCATTCTTTTTCATTTCATATTTAAAAAAATTCAAAATCTAGGGGGGCACGTGCCTCCCTAGGCCACCTCCTAGTCTGCCCCTGCTTGGTATCTATGATTTGAACATTCTGCAACTGATGAGTGACACTGAAACAATAATTTCAACAAATTCATAAATAACTATAAATTTATTCATAGTACAATGTAAATCCCAACATTACTTTTTGACTTTCTAGCTTAGTGTACCAATCAATGAAAGGTCAAGGAAGGAAATATCTCATTTTAGTTTTCTCATTAGATGTCGAATAGCCCCTTATGCCACCAAGTTATTACCATTAACCAACCTGGTTTGAGAATACAGAATGTGTATTTGGAGTCCGGATGGGATGTTGAGAGGTTACATGAACTAGTTGGAGAAGAGGTGGCGGGTAATATTATGCAAAAACTTCATGCTTGCAAGCCTCGTCGTGATATTTTGATATGGAAACCACAAAAGCAAGGCATATTTACTTCGAGAAGTGCTTGGGATATGCTTAGAATAAAAGTTCCAGAAGTACATTGGGCCAAGTGGGCTAAGAACAAAGCTATTCCTAAGCGGGTGTCATTGGCTATGTGGAAAGCTTTATCAGGGAACCTTAGTGTGGATTCTCGTATTCGTAAAGTAGTTATATCATGAGGAAAATAGAGATCATGTCTTGAGCACAGGGGACTTTGCAGATGAAGTTTGGAGGAAATTATTGCATTATTTTGATGTGCGATAGAAGAGTAAATAAGGTTGGTGGGATCAGGTTCAGCTATGGTGGGCTCGTGCTAAGCGATCTACACAGTTGGTCTATCTTCTAGGTATGCTTCGTTGTCTAATTATTTGGCGTTTGTGGGCGAGACGGCGTCGAGCTCAAATGGAGAGAAGGTATGAATCAGTTGAGGAAGCAGTCATATCTATAAAATTCTAGTTGTTGAAGATGGCCTCTTCCATAAATAAGGTTAATGTCATTTCTTCTCATGATGCTAGAATTTTGTCTGATTTGGATATTCCATGTGTGATGCGGCAGTAAAGGCAAACTCGTATGATCACTTGGAGGAAGCCAATGGCGGGTAAGGTCAAACTTAATGTAGATGGCTGTAGTTTCCGGAACCCTGGTCCATCTGGTTATGGGGGTGTTATTAGGGATGAGTTTGGAAAGTTATGGCTGGTTTTACATCTCAATTAGGAGAGGCTACTAATACAGAAATAGAGTTTAGGGCTATTAATGAAGGTTTGAAGGTATGCCAACAACTTGGGGCTTGTGTTGTTGAAATTGAAAGTGATTCTCTAATTATTGTTAGTTGGCTAATAAACTGTAAGTGCACAGTTTGGTATCTGTAGGATTTTTAGGAAGAGCTATTGGTTTTGATTCATCTTTTTGAGGTTCATGTAATGCATTAGTACATGGAAGGTAATCAAGTAGCAGATACATTGGCAAAATTAGGTGCAAAAGGGCATACACGGATGTTTTACTCGCACATGGAGCTACCTCGAGTTGCTCGTGGACTTGTCCGTTTAGATCGACTCGGAGTTGCTTATATTCGTAGTTGATTTATTTGTGTTATTTTGGCGGGTTGTTAGGCTTGGTTTGTTTGTTTTATCTATTTTCTCATTAATCTGTTTGGCTTGTTTATCGTTAAACATGTTTTAATCGTTTGTTGTTTAGCAGATATAGTTTTTTTTTTTTGTGTATGTCAACGATCGAGTATGTAATTACGGTATTCCTTCACCACAATTGAGGTTCTATTAATAAGAGCAAGACGCTACTAAAAAAAGGAACTTTATTTCTTTCACATGGCCAACCTTCTGGAAAAGTCGACTTTTGTGCTATCGACATACGTTAGTCTCTTCGTCCCGTTTGTGAATGAAGAACTCACGTGTTGTGGTGGTATTCTTATTCTCTTATTCAACACCTTCAACTCGATCACCTCAGCCTTCTACTTTCTACCTTCTATCTACTTGAGTACGCTCTTTGTCCATCAAGCAACCTCTTGTCACCTTGGGCACCCTCTTCATCCAATTCACCAACCCTCGCCACCTTTGGCACCTTCTCCATCTCCTTGGGCATCCTATCCATTCCATTCGTCAACCATACATCCTATCCATCCCCATTCCAACATCAGGCTCCTATTGTGGTGGGATCGTTCCCACTCAATACCATCGACCATCTTATTTCAACGTCATATTTAAGTTCGCAAAACCTCTATATTATCTGCTCCGTCACTGATATATATCTGCTTAAGCATTCAAATAAATCATGAGAGACAAAAGAATATGAGTACGTAAGAGGTGAAGGTCGTTACAATTTAGAGGAATTACACATGTGATGTAGGATATCGACGTTCAGATGGAGATGGAGATCTCCGTACCATAGGACAGTGTACATAAGAAAATACAAACTTAGCCCCTGTTTGGTGCACATTTTAGGAGTGAGAATGTATTTTTACTGTTGATGTGATGGAGAATGTGTGGTTGAAAAAGAAGAAAAAGTTATTGATGTAATGGAAAATATTATTTTATTAAAGAATGTGTGGTTGAAAATAAGTAGAAGAATGAGAATGAGAAAAATAATGTGGCTCAAACAGGGGCTTATTACAATTTTATCATATCAAAAAATACTGAGCCTCTGTTTGACAACTATTATTCGAAAATTCTTTTTTTTTTCTACATATTTGTTTTCAACAACACGTTCACAAAATAAAATATTTTGAGCGCAAATCCAAAAAAATTTCCCACTTTATAACCACATATTCTCATAAAAATACTATTCATACTATTGTTTTTTTTTTTCAAACAATGGTTGTCAAACAGGGGCTCAATATAACTATTAGGGCCTGCTTGATAGCCCTTTATTTTCCATGGAAGTTGGAATTGAAATTCCGTTTCCTACTTTTGTCGTGTTTGATTGCACTTTTTTTCC